AAAAGTAAATCTGACTGAAAATTAATAACATATTAGTCATTGAGAGAACTTTCTAATGTGTACATATTTTTTCATAAATATTTTCTTTAATATTATTCCTATCATGTACATTTCTTCAAACATACTTATTTTGTACATATTTTTCCAATATATGGTTTTTAGTGCCTGTATATTTTCTGAATATTGCAAATCTATTCTGGTTCTAACATAGTTTGGGAAAAGGGAATCTGTTGAGTTTTTATAACCATTCAAACCAAAACATATTCCCATTTCTCCACCTTGAATAAATATGAAAGATAGAGATAGGATTGTTGCTTTACTGTTTTGTTTTTTTTCCGAATTAGGATCTGTAGGACCAGCCTGCAAATAAATTGAAGTTCTACTCTCAAAGTAACTATTGTAGAGTCAAGAATTTATAAAATTCTTTAAAGCACAGGACTATATGCAATATTATACAGTATGAATACTACTTGTATTTACAGAAATTCCCATAGATCTCCTTTTTTTCCATCTGTGAAAATAGAAAGTTTTCTAAATCTCTGGATATGAAGGGTGATAATGGGAATATGAAGATCCTGTTCTACTGGAAGGGCAAATTTGCAATCAAATGTTCATATATTGCAGAATTAGGAAGAAAACAGTTCATGTTCTTTAGTAGAATGGCTTCCAATCAATATTTCCAAATTGCTTTATCAAGAAAATGTGCCAGAGACATATATGAAGCATAAGTAATTTGAAAATCAATATAAAAAAAAAAATTTGGCTCTGTCTGTGCTCCTTTTTCTTGTGCTCCTTTTTACCTGGAGACAGAATGACATTGCATTAAGCAGCTTCAACTCCATGCCAAGCATGTTGATGTTTATCACCCACAAAATGTATACCCAAACATGCTCTGTAGATCGATTCTAGTTAACATGTATACCTCAGGAATGGAAATTGCTATTTCATTCCTCTGACATGTTAATTTCAATTCACAAGAGCATCAGGCTGGCGTTTATATTATTCCCAGCAATGAACAGAGAGACTCAGAACATCAAAGAATCATTATATGAAATTAGGAGAGTAGATTTGCTGCACAGATCTTCCTATCAGGATATTTGGCAAAATGTCAAAAACAAGCTCTTGTAGGCTTGAGAATTACTTCTTTATCCTTGTGTGACAATGCTTGTAATCTGTGAATCACCCAGATAGTTCACTGCCCTGTGCTTTATCCTGTATAAAAGGCTACATATTTAGTACAGAAAGAGATTGCTTGTAAACATGTCAAGAACTAACAGACACAGAATTCCTGTTTTGTGTGACTTATTCTAACAGAAGGAAGGGAAAGAAGAATCTGCATGCATGTTAGGAAACCTTTTACTATAATTTGGAGGAAAACCATGAATTATGTTTTATAATGTCTATAATAAAGAATGATTCTATGAAGAAATAATCAGTTTGGTGGAAGAGCTGGACTTCAACAAAAAGAATGCTAAGTATAAGAAGCATACAGGACGTGACTCTTGCAGACATAAAGCAAAGGAATAGACACCTGGCTTGTTTGTCAAATTGATGTGTGTGGGGAAAAAATCGATAGTATCGGCAGATATGTCAATGGTGGTAAAGCTACAGAAATTCTTCTAGGATAGTAAAAAACTACATGGTATAGTTAAATAAACTGGCTTGGAAAAATACTTAGTGTGATAGGATATTCTTCTGTATCAGTTTTATTATAAACAGAGGCTTTTAAGACAGTATTCAAATCAAACCTCTGTGACAGGAAATCCTGAGGAAGGAACTACTGAAATTAGTTGAGTTTAGTGAGGCCATGCACAGAACCAAATGGAAATTTTATTTCTATGAAAACTTCGAACTGTTTTGTTGTAATGAAATATATTTTACTCCTTAGTAAAACTGACTAAGCATAAAGGAATATCCACAAAAAGCATGATATTAAAAAAGAGTCTTCCATGGCATTCCAAACCATATCAACCATTCTCAAAATATGTGTTGGATATTGATTATGTTTTTTGACTACAGATGGTTTAGAATGCAGTGGCACAAGCAGTAATGGGCACTTCTCACTGTGGCCATTTAACACTACTGCTATGAGAGCTGCATTGGCTGCCAGTTGGCTTTCAGATATTCAAGGTTCTGGTTCTAACTTCTGAAGCCCCTCATGAACTGGTTATGTGAGGACCATCTTTCTCCCATTGTCTTTGCCCATCCGGTGTGTTTGGGCAGAATGGGTGCATTCCAGGTCTTTTATTACATGTTGTCATGGTTGGGGACTTGGAAAGTATGCCTTTTCTGTTGCAACTTCCACACTCTGGGACATCATTTCTCCAGAAATATAGATGCTACCCTCTTTCCTGGGATTCTAGTAAGCTCTTACAACCTGGCTTTAGTCCTAGGTTCAGGGTTGATGTGTTTGGAAAGGTCCTTGCCATTCTTTATTTTCAATAAAGGAGAATATTTGTCGCTCAGGGTTGAAATGAGTTGCTCTCTGAGCTTGGTTGTTTTCTTGCAGACATTTCATTATCACATACATACATACATACATACATACATACATACATACATACATACATGATATTCAGCTTTGTTCGGGTATTTTCCTACGTCATTATAGTTGTGCTTTTAAAGCTGTAGCAATGTTTCGGCAGAATCTCATCTGCCATCATCAGGCTTCTGTATAGTGTTCATCTGTGAGTCAGGCTTTTACAGTGGTTTCAGATTTAAATTTGGGGCTAGCCTACTGCTGTCCCAGAATGGTTTTTTCTTCATCCTGATTGGTTGGGAGTCTTGGTCTGTGTTCCAGACCAAGTTTGCTGTGTTCTGCTTGATTGGTGTTTCTAATATCTTCTGTCTGTTTTGTGGCTCTTTTTGTATCTTGATTGGCTGGCAACATTGTGTTCCTGTTTTGGAGGCTTTTAGTGCAGCTTGGCTCCGAGTAAATGGACGGCTATCATTTGTTAGGAAGCTAGGTTTCATCTGGGTGCCTGGTTGGGGTGTGTTTGAGCTGGAGGTATCAGCGGGGATCTGTTTGTGCCCAGGTGGTTGCCTGGCTTGTGGTGTAGAGATTTTTTTGTTGGTGAATGCAGGCTTCCAAATGATAGACAGTCTGGTGGAATCATCTCTTCTATTCATGCTTTCTGGTCTTTTTTCAATCTCTATGGATTCTCTGATGATTCTGTGGCTGGGTTTTTTTATAGTGGCTAGGGTTTTGGTGCCATTGAAGTTGATGCTATGACCTGTGGCTTCCATGTGTTGGACTAGTGAGGAAGTGTGTTCCAGCTTTTTGACTGCATTTTTGTGTTCATCCAGGCGGGTACTTATTCTTCTATTGGTCTGTCCAATGTATGTGGCCGAGCATGATGCACAGGGGACTTCGTATATGCCTTGGTTTTCCAGGTCAATTTTATCTTTGGGGTTTCTGAGGATGGCTGCTATTTTTCTGTCTGTTTTGAAGGCAGTCTTGATGTGATGTCTGTGCAGTATCTTACTAATTTTGTCTGTAGTACCTCTTATGTAGGGCAGGACAGCTGTTCCATAGGTCTGTTCATCTTCTGGGTCTCTATTATGTCTCAGTGTGTTTTTGTGGATCAAGCTGGTGATTTTGCTTTTGTGGAAGCCGTTGGCTGTCAGTACTTTAGTCAGGGTGCATAGTTCAGTCTTAATGTGTGTCTTGTTTGGTTCTAGTAATTAGTGTTTTAGCCACGGAGTTTATCTGTGCTGGGTGGTGATGGGATTGGGTGTTGAGGTAGCAGTTAGTGTGTATTTTCTTCTGGTATATGGTGTGTCCTAGTGTGCCATCTGTTTTTTTGTAGATAGTACATCTAGGAATGGTAGTTGTTTGTTTGTTTCTGTTTACATGGTGAACTTGATTTTGGGGTGTATGTGGAAATATATGTTTAGGTGTGTTAGGAAATATATATATATATATTCTGTGTATGTTTTTTTTAGCTAATTTAGTATTATATTTTGTAAGCCGCTCAGAATATGCTGGAGTGGGCAGCTGTAATAACTTTAATAAAATAAATAAATAAAGTCCTCTTGCCTTCTGAGCACTCAGTAGCAGTTATCCATTTTAAAAATCAGAAGTACATAACAATATCTACATTATTATGAAGGAGTATATGCATATAAATCTGAATCACTGAAGTTGCTGATAGAGTCGAAATAGCAATTGCTAAATTCTAGTGGATGAACTTAACCTGCTGTTATGATTGATCCTTGTGGATAACGCTTTTCAGCATATGTCGAAAAGCTAAAAAAGCCACCCAGGCTGAGCAGTAAAAGAATAAATAAAGTCTGACTCTATAATCTATGGAAATGTCATCTCTGTTGGCCAAATATCTTGTATTATTCTTTTAAACTATTTTATTGTATTCCTTTTTACCTTCATCCTTCTTTACCTTCATCCTTCATCTCTTCATCTCTGATTCCTATTTGAGTTCACCTCTGAATTAGATTTGCCACTATCGTGAATAGTTCCAGAGTTACAGTTTTATACATGTTGTCTTAAATGTTCCATTTAGCTAAGACCTGGATCTAAGTATTTTTCTCTCTCTCTGCCACCTAACCCATTCTGGACTTCAACATTTATTACGAGAAGCTACTGCAAGATTGCACAGTTCTTTGTGGATTTTATGTTTAGTTCTTTTAGGAAAACAGTAGAAGAAAGAATTAGATTGGAGGGAGAGAGGGAGGGAGAAGGAGAGAGGAGAGAGATGGAAATCACCCATTTCATTCACAAAGCATAAATAGCTTAACTTTTCAGATATTGAACTACTCCAGTACTTACACATGACATTATGTAAATCCCGGTAACATACTTTTTTTAAAAAAAAACCAATGATCTCTGAACAATGTGCTGTATTTTCTGCATAAAGTTAATCTGTCTTGATCACAGAGATTATATGTACAAATGCCTCCTAATTTATACAGTCTTAACATCTCTTAATTCTTATTGCATATAGCAGGTACATTATTAAGCATACAAAGTTAGCGATACTTACTCCTGTTATGTAGCGAGGTCTATACTGGATGGTTCCAAATAGGCCAAGTATGACTATAATAATGTGTACAAAATTTGCAAGGATTGGTGCCCACTGATAACCAAGGAAATCAAATATCTGTCTCTCCAGCACACAGACCTAGGATTAAACAACAACAGTGATTTGATTAGAATAGCTCAAGAAAAAAAGAGAAAGAAAAGAGAGAGGAAAAAAATTGAGTTTTGAAAAATAGTTTTTCCGTCTTCAGTACCACTAGAAACTTGTTATATTGCTTGATAAGGCAAAAAAGACAAAGAAAAGCAGATTTTTCACTACGATTCACTCTTTTTGTCTTACTAAAAATGTACCTTTTTAAAACAACAGTCCACTGAGATCTCTTTAGATAAAATATTCACATGGGCAGTGTTAGCAAGATATAAATCCCCATTCAATGAGATGCTGCAGTTGAAGGCAGTGAAGCATTAACAACTTAATCGTTTACCATTAATAAGATTTCCATGTCTAGAATGAGTGGTTTTGTTTGCAAGTCTGATACAGTTTTTTTCAGATGTGAATGCGTCACTTGGGTGTGTGGCAAAGGAAAGGATCTGAATCAAGTATCAGATATATGAAATTAAGATAGGTCCAAGTTTGCAATGCAAGTGATTGCACTGCAAAACTAGGATTTATTATTTATTTATTTACTAATTTATTTTATATGCCGCTAGTTTCACTACCCAGATTAACTCTGGGGGGCTTATAATAGCATGAAAGCATTAAAAGGATTAAAATTAACAACAAATAAATAAAGAATATACTTAAAGGCATGGACTTGAACATTTTGTAGAGTCCTGAAAGACATTTTGGGAACCAGATGTATCTCATAAATTATATTCTGCCTTATTGAAACCATCTGAAAATCTATTGAAAATCTATTGATCTGTTTATTTCTAAGATTTCTCTCCTACTTTGATAAAACAATTACAGAGAGAGATATTTTTCATAAAATCCCAGAAGATGATAGCATCCTGACTGTCATCTAACAAGTTAACTAGAAGAGGTCCGGTTCATAGTTGAATGGGAAACCATCATAAAATCCCAGGGCTATAGATTAGGCTGGGGAAAAAGCCATATTAGAAGAAGGCTATAGTAACCCTCTTCTACAATCTTTCTGGGGGGAAATATACACTGTGCAATAGATATGCCCAAACAGTCATCAGGAGACAATTCATACATTAATCAAATGGTTTCCATCCAAAAAAGTTAATGACATAATATGAGATGCCAGATTCTAGTCTGTAAGATACTATAAAGTTTTCCTACAATAGAAACAAGAACTTACTTCTTTATGTTGTGTATGTATGTATGTATGTATGTATATATGGTATTCAGCTTTGTTCGGGTATTTTCCCACATCATTATCAGGCTTGTGTATTGTGTTTGTCTGTGAGTCAGACTTTCACAGCCGTTTCTGTGAAATTTCAAGGATTTTTTTTTCAATGTTTTCTACAAACTATGTAATATGATTAATCCAATTTCAGAGTCAAGTCACTACACTAATGGCATCATAGAACAATCATTCAGTCCAATTTACCTTTTAACACATATCAGTTTTTGCATCCATATTCCCATTGCATCATACAATCTACATAATATTTATTTCAAATAACTCAAGGTCCCAGCTAACTAAACCACAGCATTTGCACACACAAAAGTATAAAAAACTTTCACAACTTCAATACCTCTAATATTACCACAAGCATTCCTCATACATTTATTCAGATTTCTTAAGAAATTTTCACTGCAGATTTGGAAACTATTTCTGAACTTATTTACACACACCTAGCATAAATCAATTCATTAATTCTATTTGCTCCTATCCTTTTCATTTATTTTGAAAAGTGGTACTAAAAGCAAGGGAAAGCAAAAACTGCTTGAAAGCATTCGGTACCCATTATCATTAGCCAAAGATTACACATGATTTCTGTGTTGCCCATTGTTATTGTAAATAAAAATGGGAAACCACTAGTAAAACACATAACAGGTTTAAGTTTATTTTTTTTTTTCAAGCTGATTTTAAGATTTAGACGTAGAGGACAAAGAAAATTTTAAATAAAAAAATGATATTTTATCCTTAACGATCTTTATCAGTATATGTACTACCTAAGATATACTGTGGTAATTACAATGCGTACCTTTTAATAGTTATAAAAATGTCATCAACAAGCAGGAAAACATTTTTTATTTGAACTGATTTGCACTTCCAATATATATCTATAGTCCACTGTTTTATTTTAATTGTTTACATGAATAAACTAAGTGAGCCATTGATCAGGGATTTTGATGCTCTTGAGGAATAATCACATTAATCTCAAAGGAATAAAGAGAAGCTCTTCAATATGATTATTTATGTGCTTTATTCCATACCCGACAAAATATGCACACAGTGTACCATTTTAAATGACATGCATATGAATGCTTTGCATCATTTTGCTATATTCAAACAACCGCTTGGTAAGGAACAAGGCCCTCAAGGGGGTTTAACTAGCTGTGTCCTTGAAATCCTTTATAAATTAAAATAAAATCAGTAAACAAAATCAATTATTCTGGTGAAATACTTTATCTCAGAGACCAATATTAGCTTTTAAATAAACGAAGGTACATGTATAACATAAACACCTAATTCAACTGCTCCACTGCCCCTGTTTGAGTGAAAATAACATACACAGAGTATTTCCATTTTAACATTTTAAGAAAAAACAGCTTTCTCTCTTCTGCCATTTTCTCTGATGTTTGTTTCTGCTCTGAATTTACAGGTAAACAACACATCCAGTAATTCCATTTTTATCAACCAATTACATTAGGCATATTATTAAGCCTAATTCCATATTTTACCAAAGGATAGCTGGAAGTGATTTAGCTAATCTTTGTCATAAGACAACCAACTTGGAATGCTCAGCTACCAGGAGGGAGCCGAAAGAAACAAAAATGATAGGCAAAGACAGTTTGAACAGACAAGGTTTTTCAAAAAAATTGAATTAAAAAAAGGGGGTATTTCCTCCCAAAGAGATCTCAGCATTTTTAGACACCAAGAGAGAGGGATTGCAACAGAAAAAAAAAGCTAGAGAGAGACTAATCAGTATATGATAGGTATACTAATTTAAAAAAAAAACATATGCAAGAAAGAGTGAAGAAACACATCATGATTTACTAAAAGCATTTTGCAAAAAGTGCTGGGTAAAAACTTTTAATTAGCAAAATACATTGCCAACCCATATAACCTTAAAAAGTACATAGAGTTGCCCTTTTTATATGGTAACAGTTGCCAGGACACTTTGAGTTACTTATTGGAAATCACACATAATTCTTTCAAAAAATGAAATTGTGGGAGTGTGACTCAATGTAAAAAATAACTCATGTGTTAAATTGATAATTCATCATTTTTAGACTTATTGCTACTTTAATATTACTTCCAAAGTTTTTATTTCATTTTATGTAACCGGTAGTTTGTAAATTTCTATTCCTTTTTCTTTTTATCATTTTTTTTGGCTTTTTTGAAGGGGTAGGAGGCCTATCAAAAATATATTATAATAAGTACAAATTAAAAAAGAAAAAGAAAATTTATCAATTCATATCAGCAACATAAGGTAAGTGTTTTTTTTTCATTTATGCAATATTCTTGTGCAAAACATTAAAAAATAATTTAGATTTAGGTACAGTACATCTCCCACTAAATTTTGAAAAACTTCCATGTTTTGGTAATTTTCATGTGACAGGTTTACTTGGTGAACTACTTCTGGTATTTTAATCTGGTGGTACTTTATGCCTTTGAATGTTTTTACTGCTGTAGAAAGAACTGTAGTGATTAGATTTCTTCTCCTTGTTACTAAATTTATGGTATTTTATGGTAAACAAGACTTCGGTACAGGAGAGTACTGAAGTCTTAATCACATGAAACGAGGAAAACCTTCTACGCACAAATTCCACCCATGCTTTCTACAATTTTGTAAACAACAAACTTAAAGACTCAAGATCCATCCCATCCCTAAAAGGACCTAACAGTAAAGACTGTAATGATAAAACCATTAAAGCCAACCTCTTTAACACATTCTTCAGCTCAGTCTTTGTAAATAGCAACAGCTCATGCCCAATATTTCATAGTCAAACCACAAACAATCACAGCAATCTAATACATATCAACTTTACAAAAGATAACGTCATAAAAGCACTATGCAATCTAAAACCGTCACTATCTATTGGACCCGACGGACTTTGTGCCTACTTCTTAAAAAAGCTATTCACTGCCATAGCCGAACCTCTAAGCATAATCTTTGAAAAATCTTTCAGGACCAGCTCCTTGCCCAACCTATGGTCACTAACTACGGTCATCCCCATCTTCAAAAAGGGAGACCCCAGCCTAGTTGAAAATTACAGACCAATCTCTTTATGTTGTGTCACCTGCAAAGTCATGGAATCAATTATTAACCAATCAATTATTCTCCACTTAGAGACAAGCAACCTATTCTCTAACAAACAATTTGGTTTCAGAAAAAAAAAAAATCATGTAATCTGCAACTCCTACATTGCAAAAACATATGGACCACACAACTCGGCAAAGCAACATACACTATTTACATAGACTTCTTTAAAGCCTTTGATTTAGTTGTACATGACAAACTACTTCTAAAACCAAAATCTTATGGCATCTCCAGACACCTGCATAATTGGATAGATGCATTCCTGTCAAACAGGCAACAAATGATCAAAACAGGGAGCACCCTATCAAATCCCGTACCTGTCAATAGTGGTGTCCCCCAAGACAGCGTTCTAGGACCAACTCTCTGTATACTTTACATAAATGATCTTTGTGATCATATTAAAAACAACTGCATTCTTTTTGCTGATGTTGTAAAACTATTCAACACCACTGACAATACTGCTATCCTTCAAAAAGAGCTCGACTATGAGTCAGAATGGTCAAACAAGTGGCAACTTCAAATCTCAAAAAACAAATGCTGTCTTTCATATTGGCAAAAAAATCCAAAAATAAAATACAAGCTGAATGGACATGACCTTATAGATGACCCCCACTCTGTCAAGGACCTTGAAGTATTCATCTTTAATGATCCAAGTGCTAGAGCCCACTGAAACAACCTAGCCAAAAAGGCATTAAGAGTTGTTAACCTAATACTGAATAGCTTTTTCTCAGGTAATATTGTACTACTAACTAGAGCATATAAAACATTTGCTAGACCAATTCTCAAATACAGCTCATCCGTCTGGAATCTGCATTGCATATCTGACATTAATACAATTGAGAGAGTCCAGAGATATTTTTCACAAGAATCCTCCATTCCTCTACTCGCAACAGAATACCTTATACCAACAGACTTGAAATTTTAGGTCTAGACAACTTAGAACTACACCACCTTCAGTTAGACCTAAGCATAGTACATAAAATTATCCATTGCAATGTCCTACCTGTCAGTGACTACTTCAGCTTCAACCACAACAATACATGAGCACACAATAGATACAAACTCAAGGTGAACCACACCAAACTTGATTGTAGGAAATAGGACTTCAGCAACAGAGTGGTCAATGCCTGGAATACAGTATTTATGGTGTTTATGGGAGGCATGGACCCCTCCTGCCAGATTTTAATGACTTTTAAATGCAGTTGCCATATTAACTTACAAGTACATGATTTTGAAGCCATACAACTAAATGTTACATTCTTGCCTAACAAATAGGTACAATGAATGTCCCTGAATATACAACCAGTGTAAACTAAATGCTAATTAACTCATGCTGATATTCAGCAACAAGATTTAGGAGCATTCTCTTTCAAGGATCTTGAAAAAAAACTGATCACAGAGATTGTGTCTGTCTTGTTGCAACCCAACAAGACAGACACAGACTTCAGAGAGTAAATAGCACTGCAGAAAAAACAATTATTACCAACCTGCCTTCCATTGAGGACCTATATACTGCACAAACCAAAAAGAGGGTTGTGAAAATATTTACAGGGCCCTCACATCCAGGACATAAACTGTTTCAAACTCCTTCCCTCAAAACAACGCTATAGAGCACTGCAAACCAGAACAACTAGACACAAGGACAGTTTTCCCCCAAACGCCATCACTCTGTTAAACAAATAATTCCCTCAACACTGTCAAACTATTTACTAAGTCTGCATCACTATTACTATTACTATTAATCCTCCCATCCTTTCTTTCACCCATCTCCTCCCACTTATGACACTATAACTGTAACCTTGTTGCTTGTATCCTAACAATTTTATTGATTGTTTCCAAGTATGATTTGATTGCTTATTGTACCCTATGACTATTCTTAAGTGTTGTACCTTACGATTCTTGACGAATGTATCTTTTCTTTTATGTACACTGAGAGCATATGCACCAAGACAAATTCCTTGTGTGTCCAATCACACTTGGCCAATGAAGAATTCTATTGTATTCAGTATGTTAGATCTTCCATGTTATTTAGTTATAATTTTCATGCAACAGGGTTTTTTATGCACATCATCACTGGGATGTTGATAACTAGTTGCATCTGCACTAAATTTAATAGCCTGGATATTAACATCTGCAAGAACAATCCAAAGGATATATTTATTGGAAAGTTTTTGAACTCTGTACATCCTAGAAATGAGAGATAAATAGGTCAAGCTATTAAAAAATAAATAATATCAAATTATATCAAAATACAACTTTATTTTTATTAATTTATCTGAGCTAATTTACTCTTATTAGTAATTTATACATTAAGTTTTCTACCATTTACAGAGTTATGAATTATAAACACTATCACTTTTATGCCTGCAGGTTTTCCATTCCATTGAAAATTTATGTGTTTTTCTTGCTACATCACCCAGAAGTGACCCACCAAAAGTTACTGCAAGAAAAATATGTCATGTTCTTATACTCCAATTAAAAAACTGCTATATATGCAGTTTCAATAGTAAAAGTTCATGCAGTGAATTGCAAGACACAAGTAATGATAGTAAGTAGTGAACAATGGATGTGTCTGTGTAAATCAGCCCATTGTTTTTTTTTAATAAAATGCAGAAACCTCTCTGTAGTTAAACTTCTCTGTAAATGTTTTTTAAAAAATGACTATTGACTACAAAACAACTCTTTCCTTTAGAATATTATTTATACAGACACAGATACACACAGAGTTCTTTTAATTATAATAAATGTAAGAATTTTCTAGTTTTTTTAAAAAAAATACATTGTAAAAGTAAACAACTGATTAGTCTCAGAAAGCTATTTTAGACTGATATATTTCTCCTTGGAGATAAATATTTATTTACAAACTGCACTAATAAAAAGTACAGAAAGACCTTGTAGGTTTTCAGAGGAAGAAAAAATTCGCTGCTTTTTAGTTACTTGGCACCAAATCCAAACATTGAAATTATTTTTTGTCTCTATAAAGCTCATCTTGCTTGAGAGAGAGGTATAATAGAACATTGATTGGAGCCATAGTTGGGAATAACAGAGTTTAAAACATGCTGTCTGCATTTCAACTTCAAAGATTACTTTGCTGCTATATAGAAAATATTTGTAATATCATGAGATTTGTACTGTTGGACTTTCTCCCCCACTTTTTTTTTGCTGCTCAAAATGTTACAAGCACTTCCAGAGTACTAATATGCAGAAACTGATTTCATGGCGTTAACAAGGCATTTTAGCATAGTAACCATAAATGTCACCCTTACTTCCTAATTTATAGTTAATATTATAGAGTTACTATATCAACACCAGGGGTTACCTTGGATTGTAGTTATGATCCAACATTACAATTGGCTTTACTGTGTTACATTTTAATTGCATGACACATTGAAAGTTCTACATTATATGAGCTGCTTACCTGCTTATACACCAGCGTTCTTCCTTCAGACTTCCTCCCATTGAAGGTTGGCAGGGAAGGAGACTGGCCAGCAGAAATTCAGGAATAGGGGAAGCAAATACCACAACACTGTCCCACAAACACAGCTACAGAGTTATCACTTGAGATAACAACCATTTCTGCAAAAGTTCTATTGCTTAGCATGCTGGCACAGTCTTTGAAACCACCAGAGGCCAACTCTAAAGTTCAACACAGGCAAAAGCAGCACAGCATAAGCCTCTCTGTAATTCTAAAGTGGTCTTATTTGATTAAAGATAAAGGTTATTACGTTGGACATTGGAAGCTGTGATGTGACCCTCTAATGGTTTCCTAATGCTTCACAGATCATTACATAAGGAAGAGTCTCCCTATTCTTATTATTCTAAACTTTGATATCCTTAAATTGCAGAAATAAAAAAGAATATCCACAGGAACTCTAGCCATTTGGAAATTTATGAACTTTAAAAAACCCACCTATCATGTTTAAACCAGGAACGAAGCACTGAAATAATAATTCTATTATTAGGACCACAAACCCTCAGCTGCATGAGATATTTCTTCATACACTGATTCTTCAGTGTTCTTTACTCCTAAAAAGACAATCAACACAAATAGCCTGAGCCCTTGTATATAATCTTTCCTGGGCTTGATAAAATAAACAGGAAGAAGAGGAGGGGGAAACATGATAAGGTCTGCACTTGGTTTTAACTGGACATAGATCTGATCTTTGGGCAAGTCAACTCGTTTGGAGAGGCAGTTCTGTAGAAAGTTAGCACTCACTCCTCTCCTAGAAGAATGAGATATTTTGGGAAATATTAAAAAAGGAAGAATATTATATTTCCCTAAAGGAGAAACATGCTCTTGGAAAGCAGCCCCCATCTTGTGTTAATAGCCTCAGCAGGACATTCAGCTCCATGGTGATGGGATTAAGACATGACCCCTCAGGACATAATAGGATTATCCTGCTACCATCTAGCAGCAGAGCTTACCACATGGCACAACAAGCTCCTTCACTGCATTCACTCAAGAAGCTTCAACCAAGCCTGGGACTCAGCCAGCCTGCAAAGTTAGCTAGCACCCCTGTATCGCCCCCTGGGAGTCTGACAACAACCAATAGAATATATTTCTTGCATAGGAACAGTAAGCTCAAGGGCAAGACTCAAGAGAGGGTATAAATACCCCTCTCGCTCAACTCCATGTGGTCAGCTGCACCAGGACCATGTGCTTGGTGGTCCTGTTCACCATTAAACCTTCTTTCCAATCAGCCTCCATGTTTCCAGTGTCTTTCTCCCCACTTGGAATTGAACCAGGTGGATATTTCTTCCAACAGTTCATAATATTTGTTCCACTTGGTTAGCAGGTCTTTTTGCTTTGCACTGCATTCATTGAGTTCTCAGAGCTGTCAATGAATAATACAGTTTCTAACCCTCATATCGCACAGTCTAATATGGATTAGGACTCATGAGGAAGTGGGTGGATTAAAATCATGCAGTTAGCTTGCAGGCCAAGGGAGGCCTAGAACCTGATCCTAGGCCAGCAGTATAATCACCAAACCATCCTGTTCTCTCGTTTTGAAAGCAACTGCAATGTAGCAATTAAGATGTGTTAGCCCTGCAAGGTAGACCAGACCATGAAGCAGGCATCATGTGTGTCTAAAGCTATTTTAAGATTGGCTATACAGGTAGTCTTCGGCGTATGACCACAATTGAGCCCAAAATTTATGTCACTAAGGGAGTTTTGCCCCATTTTATGAACTTTCTTGCCATAATTGTTAAGTGAATCACTGCAGTTGTTAAGTTAGAAACATAGTTTTTAAGTGAATCTGGTTTCCCCATTGACTTTGCTTGTCAGAAGGTCACAAAAGGTGTTTCACATTACCCTGGGACACTGCAACTGTCATAAATATGAGTCAGTTGATAAGAACCTGAATTATGATCACATGAACATGGGGATCCTGCAATGTGATCCTGTAAGTGTGAAAAATGGTCATAAGTCACTTTTTCAGTGATGTTGTAACTTCAAACAGTCACTAAATGAAGTGTTATAAATCAACAACTACTATACTTGTGATAATAGAATCTTGGAAGCCAGAATATGCTTCTCCTCTCTCTCTTTTATCTTTATGTGAATTTGTGTTGGGTCCATCTGAGATATTTTTGGATTTCTTCTGCCTCAGTTGGACTTCTGCAATATAGCATTTATTTCTTGTTGCCTTGGTAATGGATCTCCTCCTTCTCCCTCAAGCACATCTTCTTTACTCTCTACATCATGAGGGAAACCAAGACCTCTGTGGATGATTTTAGACTAGTCTTTCTGAACCCTAACCTTGCATTATTATAAGAGGAAAAAAGGATAATGGAGTAAAATGTATATTAAAACAACAACAACAACACGAATGCAATCAAAGCCAGAACAGAAAAATCTGTTGATGAGCCCAAATGCAGATTCTGCGAAGAAGTGGACGAAACCATCGATCACATACTGAGCTGTTGTAAGACAATCGCTCAGACTGACTACAAACAATGTCACAATACAATCTCTCAGATGATCCATTGGAACTTCTGTCACAACTATCATCTGTCTGTAGCAAAGAACTGGTGGGATCATAAGCCTGAAAAAGTGGTTGAAAATGAGCATGCAAAATTACTGTGGGACTTCCGAATATAGACTGACAAAGTCTATTGTGTTTTGGAACACAATATCCCGGATATCACGATTGTGGAGAAGAAAAAAGTATGGATCGTCAACATTGCCATACCTGGTGACAGCAGAATCAACGAGAAACAACTTGAAAAAAATGGACGTTGGGAGAAGTTACCGTGAACACCCTTTCTATCTATGCTGTGAGAGAGCCCAGGATGGGTTGACTCCTTCCTATGACGTCATAGCTGAGTCTGTACTAAGATATAAAAGCCAGGCCCCGGGAGAGACCCCAGCTTTGGCGAAGATACTTGACAGACTAAAAGGTGTCTCTGAAAGCCCAAAATAAATACAGAAATATGTCTTACCCTCTCCAGAGGAATCAAGGGAGGGGCTGGGCTCTCTCGCAGCATAGATAGATAGGGCATTCACGGTAACTTCTACCAACGTTCATTCTCCTCCATGCTGCATCGAGAGCCCAGGATGGGACATACCAAAGCTTACATGTCCACGGGCGGGTCTTCACCTGGCTCATCACACCGACTATGGAACCACTCGTTGAAGCACCCGTCTGCCAAAGGCTGCAGTCGCCGAGGCAAAAGCATCCAGATGGATGAAAGGAGACGGGGATGTCCACGTGGCCGCACGACAAATCTCCTCCAAGGATGCTTGGGTTGCCCATGCAGCTGAAGTGGCCGCGCTTCTGGTAGAGTGCGCCGTCAGACCTTGGGGAACCGGAAGGGCCGCAGCTTTGTAGGCCTGCTCAATGCAAGACCTGACCCACCTGCTAATAGTAGGAGAAGAGGCCTTGTGCCCCAAGTGAGAAGGGAAAAAGGAAACAAACATGGCTTCCAACTTCCTGAAGGAGGAAGTGCGCTTAATGTATATTCTAAGAGCCCTTCTTACATCTACCGTGTGCCACTGCCGCTCTAAGTCATGGTGCGGGAGAGGACAGAAGTCAGGTAAAACAATGTCCTGGGACCTGTGAAACCAGGTGTTAACCTTAGGAATAAATGAGGGGT